TCAGCCTTGTGCCACCTCTAGGTACCCATGTGACCTTGGAAAAATGACTGAAACTTTCTGTGCTTCAGTTTGCTTATCTGCAGACTAAATTGCGGTGATAAAATGAAAAAATGAATGTCAAGCTAAATGCATAGCCGTTCGAATGGTAAATGTTAGCAACTGCAGTGATTCTAAGGCTTCTATGCCAATTCTAGCATTTAGTTTCTTCTGACTTTATCAGCATTAAATTAGATTAAAAAATAGTCTATATAGTGAAATCGGTGGGAAGATGTTGATGGGAGTTTTATCTGAAGAGGGGAGTACATGAGATGATGATGTCAGTTGACCGATATATCCTTAATTTTCCTCTCTCTCCCTCTCTCTCTCTCTCTCTCTCTCTCAGCCAGGGATTGAACTCAGGACCTTGTACTGGCCAGGCAAGCACTTATTCTACTGCGCTATCTCCCCAGCCCATATATCGTTAATTTCTGAAGGACTCTTGTAGCTTTGTCTACACACTGTAGGAAGTATTTATGGTTCTGTATGTTTTTCCTGAGGTTTACTTGATGCATGTCTTTTTCTCTTAAAACATGCAGGTCAGAATTTTAAAAAAAATACTGGAATATTGACTATATTAGAATAATTATTGTATAATTGATCTGCCCTTTTAAAAAGTATTCTAAGGGCTGCTCTGATAGCTCAGCAGACTAAAGCACCTGCTTAGGCGGATCGCAGGGGCCGGGTGTTCGATCCCCGGCCTGCTGTGCCGGCCGCGCCCACGGGACGCGCTGAGAGGGCGATTGAGGCTGGGCATGGCGGCGCATGCCTGTAATCCCAGCACTTGGGAGGCTGAAAACAGGAGAATCACTGTGAGTCTTGTTCACGTAGTAAAACCCTGTAGTCCCTGTAGACCCTGTCCTAAATACAGAAAAAGAAAAAAGAAAAAAAAAAAAAAAAAAAAAAAAAGAAGTATCCCAAATCCAAGTGGGGCACGGTAGTGCATGACTATAAGATGAGCATTTATGAATCCGCAGTGGGAAATTTGGGTCCTGTCTGA